CGTCAGCCTGGCTGACACCCCTGGGTCCGGTACGGTCAGCCTGGCTGACACCCCTGGGTCCGGTACGGTCAGCCTGGCTGACACCCCTGGGTCTATTGCGTCAGCCTGGCTGACACCCCCTGGGTCCGGTGCGGTCAGCCTGGCTGACACCCCTGGGTCCGGTGCGGTCAGCCTGGCTGACACCCCTGGGTCCGGGGCGTCAGCCTGGCTGACACCCCTGGGTCCGGTGCGGTCAGCCTGGCTGACACCCCCTGGGTCCGGTGCGGTCAGCCTGGCTGACACCCCTGGGTCCGGGGCGTCAGCCTGGCTGGCACCCCTGGGTCCGGGGCGTCAGCCTGGCTGGCACCCCTGGGTCCGGGGCGTCAGCCTGGCTGGCACCCCTGGGTCCGGTGCGTCAGCCTGGCTGACACCCCGGGGTCCGGTACGGTCAGCCTGGCTGACACCCCCTGGGTCCGGTGCGTCAGCCTGGCTGACACCCCTGGGTCTATTGCGTCAGCCTGGCTGACACCCCTGGGTCCGGGGCGTCAGCCTGGCTGACACCCCCTGGGTCCGGGGCGTCAGCCTGGCTGACACCCCTGGGTCCGGTGCGGTCATCCTGGCTGACACCCCTGGGTCCGGGGCGTCAGCCTGGCTGACGTCTGGCGAGGCCGTATACGACTGCCAAACTCGCTGGTCAAGTTGAAAAAATAATAAAAATAAGTATGATTTTTTTTTTTTATGAATTGGTATTTGATAACATTATAGAAATGTCCTTAACTTTGCTTGATATAGTTTGAACATCTTATTCTATAATTCACATAAGTGCATGTACCCGCTTAAGGTGTACTCTTATTCTGAACTACCTTACCTTGAGGTTACCTTGAGGTGCTTCCGGGGCTTAGCGTCCCCGCGGCCCGGTCGTCGACCAGGCCTCCTGGCTGCCGGACTGATCAACCAGGCTGTTGGACGCGGCTGCTGGCAGCCTGACGTACGAGTCACAGCCTGGTACTATGTTAAGAACTCGGTTAAATATGCCGGTTGGCCCGGCATTTATTGCCCTTCAGAGTTGGATAAGGTTACAGTAAGTCTACCATCAAACCAAAGAAATATTGTCGATCATCAACTAACGATTGTAAAAATCCATTTGAAATATTATCCATTATTATAAAGCAGACGTTAAAAAAATCACATTAATAACCCATTATGCAATATCGTCCATAAGATCTATGTAAAAGTTTGCAACTGTATGTAAAACCAGCACTATATAAAGTACCTACGGGCTCACCATAGCCCGTGCTACTTAGAACTGCTTGTTCCAAGTAGCGAATCTTTAACAACAGCGCTACATAAGAGGGTCAGAGCTATTTTCTTGTGCCAAGTTCAGGTTCTTTTATTATTATATATGTTAACCATAACAGCTCTCGTGTAACTGGGATGGAACTGGGATATCGAGATTCCCCTTCTCTATTTCCATTGTACATGTTTACTCTCTTGTAAATAGGTGCATCAGATGAAAGGAAAGATGTTCATTTCAGATGTGAGCCAACGACGTAGACCTACAGGACCCAACTCTTATAAATCCCATTCATGGGGAAAGTAAAATATAAGTGTAGGCTATGTACCGGATCACTATGTCACCAGCCTACACCCGTGTAGACTGTAGGCTATGTACCGGATCACTATGTCACCAGCCTACACCCGTGTAGACTGTAGGCTATGTACCGGATCACTATGTCACCAGCCTACACCCGTGTAGACTGTAGGCTATGTACCGGATCACTATGTCACCAGCCTACACCCGTGTAGACTGTAGGCTATGTACCGGATCACTATGTCTCCAGCCTACACCCGTGTAGACTGTAGGCTATGTACCGGATCACTATGTCACCAGCCTACACCCGTGTAGACTGTAGGCTATGTACCGGATCACTATGTCACCAGCCTACACCCGTGTAGACTGTAGGCTATGTACCGGATCACTATGTCACCAGCCTACACCCGTGTAGACTGTAGGCTATGTACCGGATCACTATGTCACCAGCCTACACCCGTGTAGACTGTAGGCTATGTACCGGATCACTATGTCACCAGCCTACACCCGTGTAGACTGTAGGCTATGTACCGGATCACTATGTCACCAGCCTACACCCGTGTAGACTGTAGGCTATGTACCGGATCACTATGTCTCCAGCCTACACCCGTGTAGACTGTAGGCTATGTACCGGATCACTATGTCTCCAGCCTACACCCGTGTAGACTGTAGGCTATGTACCGGATCACTATGTCACCAGCCTACACCCGTGTAGACTGTAGGCTATGTACCGGATCACTATGTCACCAGCCTACACCCGTGTAGACTGTAGGCTATGTACCGGATCACTATGTCACCAGCCTACACCCGTGTAGACTGTAGGCTATGTACCGGATCACTATGTCTCCAGCCTACACCCGTGTAGACTGTAGGCTATGTACCGGATCACTATGTCTCCAGCCTACACCCGTGTAGACTGTAGGCTATGTACCGGATCACTATGTCACCAGCCTACACCCGTGTAGACTGTAGGCTATGTACCGGATCACTATGTCACCAGCCTACACCCGTGTAGACTGTAGGCTATGTACCGGATCACTATGTCACCAGCCTACACCCGTGTAGACTGTAGGCTATGTACCGGATCACTATGTCACCAGCCTACACCCGTGTAGACTGTAGGCTATGTACTGGATCACTATGTCTCCAGCCTACACCCGTGTAGACTGTAGGCTATGTACCGGATCACTATGTCACCAGCCTACACCCGTGTAGACTGTAGGCTATGTACCGGATCACTATGTCACCAGCCTACACCCGTGTAGACTGTAGGCTATGTACCGGATCACTGTCTCCAGCCTACACCCGTGTAGACTGTAGGCTATGTACCGGATCACTGTCTCCAGCCTACACCCGTGTAGACTGTAGGCTATGTACTGGATCACTATGTCTCCAGCCTACACCCGTGTAGACTGTAGGCTATGTACCGGATCACTGTCTCCAGCCTACACCCGTGTAGACTGTAGGCTATGTACCGGATCACTATGTCACCAGCCTACACCCGTGTAGACTGTAGGCTATGTACCGGATCACTATGTCACCAGCCTACACCCGTGTAGACTGTAGGCTATGTACCGGATCACTATGTCACCAGCCTACACCCGTGTAGACTGTAGGCTATGTACCGGATCACTATGTCTCCAGCCTACACCCGTGTAGACACGCAAATTATACTTAACTAACACAAATTATCATAAAACATTGCTCGTCGGTACATACAATATAGTCAATTTACATTTAAAATAATTACAATTTTAATACACTAGCGAAAACAAAAGTATAAATCACTTTGTCATTATAGTTCAACTTATCCCAAATAATAATTGTTTATAACTCGCATCAGTGTGATCAAACATATCATAGCAATAACCAGACTAACACTGAACCGACCTGTATCCCCTCTTCTGTCTATAACAGCGACTGCTCTTCCAGTGAACACACACACACAACATGTTTATACATCAAAACACTATGCATGTGGCCTCCCGCCTCAGGGTAAAGTGATTACATCGTGACACGAACCTCACTCTCACACCACCTGGATACTTATTTAGATATTTGTGATGGTCTGAAAGCATGTTACGGTCTCAGTAATTGTCTACGTGGAAAATGGCAAGTGAACCTTTGTCCTTAACATAGCACATTCAAGTTACAACTTTATTGCATTGCATATCGACGGTTATAAAAAATTTTTTATTAAAATAAAAAAAAACTATGGTAAACTCTTTGATACGGTTTGAAACCAACGTTTTCTTTATTAAATTCTAGGAGATGCTCAAATAGTTTGAATTTCGTATCTCACATAACTGAGAATAACAGTTTTAATAACCTAACCTAACCATGGATAGAGAATAGATAATAGCACCAAATATGTAATGGTTTTGAACCGATTACCTCAAGGGGTACAAACCCCTCGAGGGCAGTTTGTGCCACCAATGAGGAGAGTAATTGGGAATATGTTCATTGTCATGGAGATCAGCAACTACTTGCAGAATTAGTTTCAATTATTGTAAATTACCCTTCTTTATTTTATTTATAAACAAGAAGGTACATTAGGGGTTCAGAGAGTACAGAGCAATGATGATGATTTTACATTCTCGTAAAGCCACTAGCGCGCATAGCGTTTCTTCGCTTGTTTCTGGTCTTATGAGAGTCCATACATCAGCCCCCCCCCCGGGGGGGGGGGGTGTAGAGATAGCCTAAGCTATTCTATCCCTTTGAGATGTATTTTTTTATTGTGTCAATAAACATACTTGAACTTGGCCCCACCCTTTCACGCATAATTTTTCCAGGAACTTTTATGATTGGTTGGGGGTTAAAAGTGCCAACCAATCACGCGAGACAGACAAACTTAGTATTTTTTAATAATTTGTATTTAACAACATTACTCAGATGGATAACAACTTTAAGAGACAATTCATAACCGTCTCTCTGGCCGTGCTCTACGCACCAATTGTTCAAACTAAAATATTTGTTAATATAGCGTTCGTTATTATCGTAATAGCGAAGCCGTACAGAGGTCAGTCATTGTTGTAATGTAACAATAGTCATTCACAACATTAGAAATTATTATTCACATCTGACGGGTTTATTGAAGTTACAAAACTAACAATAGTCCTTTATACATATATTATACTTAAAGCAATTATGCCAGTTTGTGCAGGCGATGAGTCACAATAACGTGGCTAAATTATGTTGACCAGACCACACACTGGAAGGTGAAGGGTCGACGACGTTTCGGTCCGTCTTGGACCATTCTCGACTTGAGAATGGTCCAGGACGGACCGAAACGTCGTCGTCCCTTCACCTTCTAGTGTGTGGTCTGGTCAACATGCCAGTTTGAGTTGCTTACCCACGAATAGTGTTGTCTTTATCACCTCAACTACACATTAATCACAGGCCTGTTATGATGCAAATATTACCTTTCTAGGTGGGACTGGCGAGCACGGATGCGAGAGACATGCTCCTACGGTGGCAGGTGTGGCACTGGCCGGTCACCGCCCGCCTGTAAACACCTCAACTTTTCCTGCGCAGTGGACGTGCGCATTTCATGCCCTCCACTACTGTAATTGTTTTAGTAAACTGAAAACGCAGTGGGTACTGTTTTATTTCCTTAACTATTTATCAAAATATAGTGTTGATATATTGGCACGAAAATATATAAAAGAAAATATGTTTAATAACCTATGTATTATAAAATTACAATCCCTGAGACGCCATCTTGGATTCGCGTATTCTGGGGGCAGATTCACGAAGCAGTTACGCAAGTACTTACGAACGTGTACATCTTTCCTCAATCTTTGACGGCTTTGGTTACATTTATTAAACAGTTTACAAGCGTGAAAACTTGCCAATCAACTGTTGTTATTGTTATAAACAGCCTCCTGGTGCTTCGGAGCTCATTAATTGTTTAATAATTGTAAACAAAGCCGCCAAAGATTGAGAAAAGATGTACAGGTTCGTAAGTGCTTGCGTAACTGCTTCGTGAATCTGACCCCTGGCTGCTTGCAAGGCCGCCTTATCATTAGGCATTTCTTTCTCATCATAAAAATTATCTTGCTTTGTTTCGCTGTACTGTCACGAAGAAATGGCTTCCTGACAGCTATTTTGAGTTCTATTGAAGCCAAATCAGTTGCATGAACTGTGTCTTCGGAGGGATTTGGATCCGGGATAGCCCTAGGATCTGTTAATTGAGAAAGCTAATTGTGTGAAAATTTATAAATTTATTGAATGATTATATAGATAATATTAATCCTTAATTAATTATATTATCATTCTACTTTTGTAATGTTAAATGTGGTGGTTTGTTGTCACGGCTCTAATGCTAAGCTATACTTTATTTTTGTAATGATACTTATAATATCATATAGAAATGTAGCTTATATAATGTATATATATAAGTATATATATTTATATATATACACATACTGTATATATATATATATATATATATATATATGCTATCATATATATATCATCTACGGTAATGTTGTGTAAACTAACCCGACTATAAATGTACAAACATATAGTACTGTACACATTTATTAATATAGCATAGTACATTTATATATTGTATTGTACAAACACAGCCCGTCCTTCTCCTGTTGTAGTAGTGGTTATAGTAACCATCAGGACCATAGTACATATATCAATGAGCAACTTAATTAGAAAGTAGAAATCTGTACTATTGAATTTGCATAAACCCAAAAAGGTTTTGTATTTATATAATTTATATAGTTCATATAAAAAGGTTTTATATATGAACCAGTGGTTATCTGGGGCGTGTGGCTGGGAACACCCTGCACATAGGTTCGAATCCTCATCTCGGCTCCTACGGATTTTTTTTAATGTAAGAGTACTCGTGTGAGTGTTGTCTACACTCGCTCCTCGCTCCCTCTCACACACGCTGTGTGTGGGACCAAAGAGCTAGAGCTCAACCTTCTCCTAAGCACAACTGGGCGAGTACTGTGTGTTCACACCTTCAAGGTCCATCTCCCATGCTACTTTGACACTTAAATACACACTTGACACCTGTCAATCATCATCCATTCCTTCAACATGGCCCATTCACTTGGGGCGGACGGTAGAGCGACGGTCTCGCATCATGCCGGTCGGCGTTCAATCCCCGACCGTCCACAAGTGGTTGTGCACCATTCCTTTCCCATCCCAGGGCCCGTCCCATCCCAAATCCTTATCCTGAACCCCTTTTTCCAGTGCTCTATAGTCCCAATGGCTTGGCGTTTTTCCCCCTGATAACTCCCTTCCTCCCTCGTGCAACATAGCCCAACCACCTCAGTATATCTGTCTATCTGCACGCCCAACACAACACACTACGCTTCTCAAGCTAAACATTTCTGTTTGGCAAGTATTCTTACTTTGCTTTGACCACATCGAAGGTTTCCAGTGCTCTATTGCCATGTATACAAATTCTGGAAATGACAGCGAAAACGATTATGCCTATTTGAGGTTCTAATGAACCACAAATGATTTCGATATAATGAAGACTCAGTAGCCTTCCCTCACACTCAAGATATTCTCAGCAAAAATTCGCTTTAATGAGTTTGTTATGTTCTTGTCCTATTTTGTGGACGAGTCATTATTGTCTCTGTGTTTCCGTCATGAAAATGGTCTGTATTTATTGCGATAAAAGTTCTCAACTAAATGATAAGTGATTATAGGACCTGTTTGGTCTGCCACACCTTACCTGTGTGTGGCACAGACCTGCCACACCTGTGTGTGGTAGAGGTCTGCCACACCTGTGTGTGGTAGAGGTCTGCCACACCTTACCTGTGTGTGGTAGAGGCTTGCCACACCTTACCTGTGTGTGACGCAGACTTGCCACACCTGTGTGTGGTAGAGGTCTGCCACACCTTACCTGTGTGTGACGCAGACTTGCCACACCTGTGTGTGGTAGAGGTCTGCCACACCTTACCTGTGTGTGTGACGCAGACCTGCCACACCTTACCTGTGTGTGACGCAGACCTGCCACACCTTACCTGTGTGTGACGCAGACCTGCCACACCTTACCTGTGTGTGACGCAGGCCTGCCACACCTTACCTGTATGTGGTAGAGACTTGCCACACCTTACCTGTGTGTGGCACAGGCCTGCCACACCTTACCTGTGTGTGGCACAGACCTCAGCATCTGTGTGTATGGTATAAGCCCCACTACACATACACTACACCCGTGTGTATGGTGTCGGGGCCTCGCTAAAACATTCACTACACCTGTCTGCTGATACCCTCCATTACTCTCATACCACCTTGCCATAAATACCTCTTTTTCCCTTGGCCAGTAATTATGGCCATTTATTCGTAAGGTTGTAAATGTAAATAGCCACAGTTTATTTAAGTGTTTAAGCTTTAATTAGACAGTTTGCCATAGCAGGTTACCTGAGAGCAACTTGAAGCCTGTGTAGGAACCAATATGATGGAGACAAACTTACACCAAGGTAGTCGTGATATATAGAAACCACAAGATAAAAAGCACTTCCATTCAGCAGCTATTTTAAAGATTTCTCAAGCATTCTCATCACTACAATATTGACGCCACAAACACCTTTTATCAACAAATAGAAGCAATTGCCCCCCTCGTAGTCCTCAGCGGCGACACCGGTGTCTGGTCAGGACGGGGGGGTCCTCGCCCCCTGCGCGAGGACCCCTCCACGGACCCCCCACCGTCACCAATAAGGACTCAAGAGGCTAAGCTAGACACTTTGAAACTCTACATTGGACTCCGCACTGAGAGGTAAACAACAGCCAGATAGCAGCAAGCCAATCATAACCCGCTTTTTCTCAGTCACCATTCTGATTGGTTCATTGCCAGTGATAGCTGTGTTATGTATATGATATAAATTAGGAAGAATGGAAAAGCACAATAAAGGAGGAAAAATGGAGAGGAAGAGTAAGAAATAATCAAAGAGGGATGAGGACACAGTGATGAACATTATTTATATGAATAATGAACAAATAAAACGGTATAAGTTGACAGGAGAGGAGGTAAATCTGTCAGTTTTAGGTATATTAAGAGAGAGAGAGAGAGAGAGAGAGAGAGAGAGAGAGAGAGAGAGAGAGAGAGAGAGAGACAGACAGACAGACAGAGACAGAGACAGAGACAGAGAGAGACAGAGACAGAGACAGAGACAGAGACAGAGAGACAGAGAGACAGAGACAGAGACAGAGACAGAGACAGAGACAGAGACAGAGAGACAGAGAGACAGAGAGACAGAGAGACAGAGAGACAGAGAGACAGAGACAGAGAGACACAGAGAGAGAGAGAGAGGTGGGGGGCGGAGACAGGAGGGGAGGGTAGGGGCTGAAGGAGGGTCCAGCTAAGGACGGGCTGCCCGCTTTATCTTGGTAGCTGGTAGAGTATTGATGATAGCTGGGGACACAGATGCAGGCCCGTACACACCTCGCCTCGCTGAGCGGCGGTTGTGGTAGTGGTGGTAATGGTAGTAGTAGTGGTGGTGGTGGTGATGGTGTTGGTAGTGATGATGGTAGAGGTGGTAGGACAGTTGGTTGGTTGGTTGGTTGGTGGTGGCAAGGCATGGAAGAAAGACAGAAAAAAGCATAAGTACTGCTCATATATTCTGAAGCAAATTGAACAAGCTCAATACATCAAACTAGTCGCTCTAAGGCAATATTACATTTAGGCTAAAGTTTAGTTATAACATGAGTAAATTACATATAAGATGAGAAACTGCTAAATACAATACACCTCCAGGTCAGGACCCATCTCACCCCACTGAGAGCTAGAAGTGAGTCTCGCGCCTCTGGATATAAAGAGAGACATTAACAATATTATACACATCTCTTGACATGAATATCCGGAATTACAGGTGTCATGGAGGAAGGCCCAGGCAAAAATATTAAAAACAAAAGAAAGAAGCTTAAACTTGCAGCCAATCGTACTCAAGTTGCCTGAGCAAGCAGGTCAGGTGGATCATTGAGGGAGGTATAAGCCCGTCCTGTAGGTCACCAAAGCAGCAGTCAAGCAGCAATCTACAGTATAATTATATCCGGGAGTTATTTGACCCATTGGAATATAAAGAACGTTTGTACACTAAACTACAGTGATTAACAAATGAATGGGGGGTGATTAGCGTGTGACTGAGGAAGTACAGCTACAGAATTTCTGAAAGCCAAACTGTTGTGACGTCGAAGACAGTGCACAAGGATATTATCTTGTGCGTGTTTGCTGGAAATCTGAGGTTGCAATGTTATTAAGATCTTGCTAGTAAGGCCAGACTGTCTTAGGTACATACAGGTGTGACTGTCGACTCTGATTAATGAATCTAAATATATTTTGGTATTTAAGTCGACTGTCTGTCCCGAGTATCAGGCCGTTATAATAATAATAATAATAATAATAATAATAATAATAATAATAATAATAATAATAATATCGTATAAAAAATATTGACATTAACGAAAATAATTAAATAAAATCTTCGTAAACAGCATTCAAATGCTTGGTTATAAGTTGGTTTACGATGAAAGCTTTAGAACCACCATGGTAGTTAGTTGTCCCCACACACACACACACACACACACACACACACACACACACACACACACACACACACACACACACACACACACACACACACACACACACACAAGGGGCCTCGTAGCCTGGTGGATAGCGCGCAGGACTCGTAATTCTGTGGCGCGGGTTCGATTCCCGCAGAAACAAATGGGCAAAGTTTCTTTCACCCTGAATGCCCCTGTTACCTAGCAGTAAATAGGTACCTGGGAGTTAGTCAGCTGTCACGGGCTGCTTCCTGGTGTGTGTGTGTGGTGTGGAAAAAAAAAAAAGTAGTTGGTAAACAGTTGATTGACAGTTGAGAGGCGGGTCGAAAGAGCAAAGCTCAACCCCCGCAAAAACACAACTAGTAAACACACACACACACACACACACACACACACACACACACACACACACACACACACACACACACACACACACACACACACACACACCGGTAACACTAACAAATCTTCCCAATAAGGTATTAGAAACTAATCAAAAGAAGGCTCGTCGATCATTTACCACATATAAATTTTGTTTCCAAACACCAACATGGATTCAGCAAAGGAAAATCTTGTTTGACCAACTTATTGGAGTTCTCTCTACGAGCTGACAACGAACAAGACAGCGAGGGCCGGGCACACTGTATTTTTCTGACACAGTTCCTCGTAAGAAACTCGTATATATAAACTCGAGAAGCTGACTCCTGCATCGCAAAAAAAGGAAATAAATTGGTGAAAGAGTACCTATCAGGAGGAAGCCAGAGAGTCATATTTAAGAGTTATCACACTGAAGAAAGGTAGCGAGTGGAGTACCTCAGGGGACGGTAGTAGGGCGCATTCTATTCCTACTATATATAAATCATCTGACAGTAAGCTGTTTCTTATCCATGTTTACTGAGGATGCGAGACTAATGAAGAAAATCAATCTAGACACTCTCCAGAGATTGACAATCTAATCAAGACAATCTCCAGGGATGGTCTGAGAAATGGTCACTATAGACTTAAACCTTGACAAATGCAAGGTTAAGGGATAGGGGTTGGAACAAGAAAATTGTAAATATACAGACCAGGGTGATGGGAAGATAACTTTCAACTTCTGCCAAAGAGAGAGACTTAGGAGAGAGAGAGAGAGAACTATTAGGGGAAAGCGCCAAGCCATTACGACTATATAGCACTAGGAAGGGGTGTGGATAAGGATTTGGGATGGGACGGGGGGGGAAAGGAATGGTGCTCCAACAACTTGGACGGTCGGGGATTGAACGCCGACCTGCATGGAGTGAGACCGTCACTGGAAATCTAACACCAGAGGCACACATCAGCAGGATAACGAGGGCAGCATGTTCCATAAACGTCCGGTTATCCTTCAGCAACTTGGACAAAAATCCATTCCGAGCGCTTTACAGACCCTTTGTGTGATCTGTTATTGAGCATGCCCTGGAAACACAAACCGAAACTGTCTCTATTTTCCGCTTGTTACAACTTGTAATAAAGTTGTTACATTTTGGCTTAACGTGTTCATGACGTATTAGAACGTTGTTACAACTTGCTATATTGGTTGTTGTAACTGGTTAGGAGGTGTTAAAACTTATTCGAACGTTGTACCAACGTCGTAGTTTCGGTGTGTGTTTAGCGGGATGCTGCCTCAGCATGGAACTTACCCTTACCTAAAGAAACAAAGCAAAATAGAAAAAAGTCCCCGAAAACATGCTATAAGGCGTGTTCTTGAGCTAAGGGGAAACAGAACAATGAAGAAAGACTGAGGGGAACTGACCTCAATACAATAGAGGAAAGACCGAATTGGGCAGAAATGATAACGATGTACAATATATAAACGGGCATTGACAAAGTCGATATAGAAGCAATGATCAAACTAAGGAACAGTAGAACGAGAGGACACAATAGAGAACTGTAAACACAGATGAGCCACAGAGATGTCACAAAAAAAACCAGATGTGAGCGGACTTGGCGCCCGTCAGTGGTGATGGGGCCAGGCACACACACACACACACACACACACACACACACACACACACACACACACACACACACACACACACACACACACACACACACACACACTTTGTATACCACATATGTCAGGCCAATCCTGGAGTATGCAGCCCCAGCATGGAGTCCATATCTAGTCAAGGATAAGACTAAACTGGAAAAGGTTCAAAGGTTTGCCACCAGACTAGTACCCGAGCTGAGAGGTATGAGCCACGAGGAGAGACTACGGGAATTAAACCTCACTTCGCTGGAAGACAGAAGAGTTAGGGGGGACATGATCACCACATTCAAGATTCTGAAGGGAATTGATAGGATAGATAAAGACAGTCTATTTAACACAAGGGGAACACGCACAAGGGGACACAAGTGGAAACTGAGTGCCCAAATGAGCCACAGAGATATTAGAAAGAACTTTTTTAGTGTCAGAGTGGTTGACAAATGGAATGCATTAGGAAGTGATGTGGTGGAGGCTGACTCCATACACAGTTTCAAATGTAGATATGACAGAGCCCGATAGGCTCAGGAATCTGTACACCTGTTGATTGACGGTTGAGAGGCGGGACCAAAGAGCCAGAGCTCAACCCCCGCAAACACAACTAGGTAAGTACAACTAGGTGATTACACACACACACACACACACACACACACACACACACACACACACACACACACACACACACACACACACACACACACACACACACACACACACACACACATTGAGAGAGGCCTCGTAGCCTGGTGGATAGCGCGCAGGACTCGTAATTCTGTGGCGCGGGTTCGATTCCCGCACGAGGCAGAAACAAATGGGCAAAGTTTCTTTCACCCTAAGTGCCCCTGTTACCTAGCAGTAAATAGGTACCTGGGAGTTAGTCAGCTGTCACGGGCTGCTTCCTGGGGTGTGTGTGTGTGTGTGGTGTGGGAAAAAAAAAAAAAAAAAAAAAAAAAAGGTAGTAAACAGTTGATTGACAGTTGAGAGGCGGGCCGAAAGAGCAAAGCTCAACCCCCGCAAAAACACAACTAGTAAACACACAACTAGTAAACACACACACACACACACACACACACACACACACACACACACACACACACACACACACACACACACACACACACACACACACAGTCCAAGACAGGAACACCTGAGAGTGACTGGACGTACCTGCCAGCCAGTTCAGGTCATCACTGACGTAAATTACATTGATGACGGACTGTGTTGAGTGGTTGCACAACAGTCGCTGATAATAATGATAAACTTATCGTGTGTATAACAAAAAACATAAGTTTTTAAAGTACTTGTTGCTTATTATGAGGAGATATGTAGTGTGTACTGTGGCAGGTGGTGGTGGTGTACTGTGGCAGGTGGTGGTGTACTGTGGCAGGTGGTGGTGTACTGTGGCAGGTGGTAGTGTACTGTGGCAGGTGGTGGTGGTGTACTGTGGCAGGTGGTGGTGTACTGTGGCAGGTGGTGGTGGTGTACTGTGGCAGGTGGTGGTGTACTGTGGCAGGTGGTGGTGTACTGTGGCAGGTGGTAGTGTACTGTGGCAGGTGGTAGTGTACTGTGGCAGGTGGTAGTGTACTGTGGCAGGTGGTGGAGTACTGTGGCAGGTGGTAGTGTACTGTGGCAGGTGGTAGTGTACTGTGGCAGGTGGTAGTGTACTGTGGCAGGTGGTAGTGTACTGTGGCAGGTGGTGGTGTACTGTGGCAGGTGGTGGTGTACTGTGGCAGGTGGTGGTGTACTGTGGCAGGTGGTGGTGTACTGTGGCAGGTGGTGGAGTACTGTGGCAGGTGGTGTACTGTGGCAGGTGGTAGTGTACTGTGGCAGGTGGTAGTGTACTGTGGCAGGTGGTAGTGTACTGTGGCAGGTGGTAGTGTACTGTG